AATCTCATTCACGCTCCACGGGGCCGAAGACAACGCATGCCCTTCTCCACCGCCTCATTAGTAATAGCTGGAAACAACAGGTGTCCCTCGGCGGGTGAATGATGAAACGCACGATGCTGTGTCCATGCCGCAGAATTCCACTCAGAAATAACACGGAGCAAACCATCGATCCGCACGAGAGCTCGGATGCCTCCCGAGGCGGTAATGCCGAGTAAGAACAGCCGGTCCCCAAAGCTTACAGGCTGTATGATTCCATTTGTAGGAGTGTCTCCAAAGTGACAAAACTATTGACGTGGAGAACATATTCCTGGCTGCCTCAGGGTAGGGAGGGGATGGGCAGGAGGGCATGGGTGCGGCTGCGTGAGGGCAGCATGGGGGCTCCTGGCAGTGACGAGTGTTCCGTATCCTGGCCGTGTCAATGTCAATGTCCTGCTGGTGATATTGGACTACAGTTTTGCACGATGTTGTCATGGGGAGAAACTGAGTATAAAGGTGACATGGATGGTTCCAGTATTATTTCTAACAACGGCATGTGAGTCTACAGTTATTTCAAGACAAGTGTAAATTTTTAAAGATGGGCAGAAACCCACGCGTGTATACGTGGAAGGGTGTGCACACAGAGGGTCTGAAAGACACAGAGTGGACTTGGCAGCCTTCCGCCGCAGAGCAAATCCGGACAGAGAGACTCCTTTTTCTTTTTCAACTTCTTATTGTCACTTGTCCCAACATGCATACGTGACGTGGTGATTTTGCGTAGACCCACGAAGTAGCCCAAAATAGGTGTGTGGGGGAGGGGGGAGGGGAGGACCGGCGAAGAGCTTGGTCTCACCCACCCAAGGCTGGGAAAATGCCTACTCCAGGTCTCCAGGAACATTCTGAGCCTGGAGTGTGAGAGCCAGGAGTAGGGGGTGGGGGTGGCCGGCTGACTCTGGCCTCTGCGTCCCCACCCCGCCCCCACCACCCTGAGGCCAGCCTGTCTTGGTGTTCCTTCCTCTTGTTCACAAACCCTCACGGTTCTCCACCAATTCAGCCACTCATGAAGGAGTGAGGGTGGGTGATTGCTAGATGCAACAGCAGCGACCCCCCCCAACTCTGAGTCACCACCATGGGCCAAGAATCACCCTAAGTGCCTTTCAAGTACCACATGGTGTAATTCTCCTGAGGGCCCCGAGATGATGGCTGTGGCTCTGCCCATTCTCCGGATGAGGACTGGGAGGTTGATAACTACGTTGTTCATGCTGGATCCCACGCGGAGGACACTCCCAGCATCACCTCTGAGACCCGCCCTCTGCCTCCCCACCATCCCACCCCCATGTCTGGCCCCTGGGGCCCAGAGACCTTCAGGAAGCTGGGTTGTCACTGTGCACCCCAGCTCCTTGGAGGTAGCTGAAGGGGCCCAATGGAGAAAAGAGCTTGGGGACGGCAGCTGGTAACCAGCAACATGGTGACCCAGTGGAAGGACGGCGTGCTCCCAGCTGACCAGGGGCCTCTCCTGCTTGGAAGCGCTGAGAGTTGGATGTGCATCTGGATCCTACCGCCAGGACTGTGCTCCTGACTGACCAAGGCCAGGGGTGGGGGGATGGGCTTGCATCCGCTGCAGAAAAGGAATTGGCCCCAGCTGTAAACAGCCCCAGCATGGGACACTCGGGTGTCAAGATGAGCTTGTGGCTCCCGGGCTGCAGGAATGGGAGGCTGAGCTGAGGAAAGGGACTGTCTGGCACGGAGGGGACAATGCAGCAACACCCTGTGCCCCTGGCAACCAATGTCCAGTTCTGTGGTGGGCATTCTCAGATTTCTGGGAGGCAGAGGACTAGGAGAACAGGGTGGAAGATTCTGGAAGGGAGGAGTGGCCTGTCCTGCACTGCTAAGCTACCCAGGGGGTCCAGCCCCCAACCCCATGAGAGCCACTTCTCAGAGGAGGGAGGAGGAAATCAAGCAGGAGATGGTCTCAGCCCTTCTGGAAGTTTCTCTTGCTCCATCTTCTCTTCCTTCAATCACATTGAGTGGGGGGTGTGGAATCTGCACAAACTGTGTGCCTCAGGAAGGAGTCACCATAACTGTGGTTTTCTGAGTGTGTTTGAGACAGGGTCTGGCTCTGTTGCCCAGGCTGGAGTGCAGTGGTGTGATCTCAGTTCACTGCAACCTCCACCTCCCGGGCTCAAGCGATCCTCCCACCTCAGCCTCCCAAGTGGCTGGGATTACAAGTGCCCCCCCCGCCACATTCAGCTAATTGTTGTACTTACAGTGGAAAAGGGGTTTTACCATGTTGCCCAGGCTAGTCTCAAACTCTTGGGCTCCAGCGATCCGCCCTCCTCAGCCTCCCAAACTGGTGGGATTACAGGTGTGAGCCACCGTGCCCAGCCGTGACTATGGTTTAAGAGAGGGAAAGACACAGACAGACAGACGTCACCCTTGCCTTCGCATGTCTTATTCCTCTGCTGGAAAGCCCCCTGTGCCCCATTCCCAGTGGGCAAATTCTTTGTTTTTGGTTTTTTCAAGATGTATCTAAGAGTCCCTTGGGTAGAGGGATCCGACCTCCTGCTTGCCCAGGGCAGCTCGCCTGGCACCTCTTGTCTCAATGGTGATGTGTGCTGGGTCCCGTTACTCTCCACCCTTGGACCATAACTAGGCTCCCTTTTGGGGCACATCTCTCCCTGTGTAGTCGCTCTCTGTGTGTCTCTCCCGTGCCCCCACCAGACTGGGACGCTGGAGCCTGCCTCGCTTCTCTGTCTGTCCCCAGGGCCTGCACAGAGGCTCACATACTCAGCAGCCGTGTCTGGGGTGAATGGGCGAGTGAACCCACACAGCACTGACAGTGTTCCTTTCCTCTCGTTCCTTCCAGGGATCTATAAAGGGCACTGCTTCCGGATCAATCACTTCCCAGAGGACAATGACTACGACCACGACAGTTCGGAGTACCTCCTCCGTGAGTGTCAGGAGGCCTGCGCTTGCCTTCTGTGGGGAGGGGAGACGGTGGGGGAAGGCGGTTGGAGGAAAGAGAGACACGGGGCGTGGACAGGGTGATTTTCTCGGGATGCTCTGCCCGCTCTCTTCCTTATTCAGACTTCAGAGTTCGGAGGATGGAGTTTTGCTCATCACTGCCATGACATGCTGGGTATCTCAAGGGGGTTATTTGGCTGAGAGGCCTGGGCCCTGGGGAGACTGAGGCCTGAGCAGAGAGGCACTGGGTGTGGCAGGCTTCGGAGTTACTGAAAGGCTGGAGCTGGGGCTGGGGCAAGGGAGATGAAAGATACAGGCTCTGTGACCGAGCGCGGTGGCTCACACCTATAATCCCAGCACTTTGGGAGGCTGAGGTGGGTGGATCATGAGGTCAGGAGTTCAAGACCAGCCTGGCCAAGATGGTGAAACCCCATCTCTATTAAAAATACAAAATAGCCAGGTGAGGTGGCAAGCACCTGTAATCCCAGCTGCTTGGGAGGCTGAGGCAGAGAACTGCTTGAACCCAGGAGGTGGAGGTTGCAGTGAGCCAAGATTGTGCCACTGCACTCCAGCCTGGGTGACAAAGAGAGACTCTGTCTCAAAAAAGAAAAAAGATACAGGCCCTTCCCAGGCTGGGCATCCCTGAGGGGTGTGGCACCCCAGCACACTGAGGCCTGCACACTCTCTTCCATTCCAGTCCTGAAAACTCAGATATAGCCACACACCGAGACGGCCTCATGGGGCACTAGGAGTTCCAAGGGAGAAGGTGAGGAAGGTGCTGGGGGCAGCCTCTGATGCGTTGTCCTGAAGTCTTTGCAGCAACACCTCTGTCCGTGGGCTGCCTGGGAGCCCCCACCAGCTCCTGGGTCCAGTGGCTGTGTGGGGTCCCCAGACTGAAGCCCAGAAGTCACAGCACAAGCTCAACCCCAAATGGCAAACCCAGCCCACACACTGAGTCCAGATCTCATCTGTGGGCAGCAGGGGAGGAGCCTGGAAATGGAAAGATAGCACTGTTTTGGAGGCATTTTCCCCTCTACGTTATCAAAGACACACAAAGAGCAGCTCACAGCAGCACCCCTGGGGCTCGGGCCCAGCCTTGCTGATGGAGAATCGATACCAGTGCCCTCAGAGAGAGCACAATTCACTCTGCACCTGCTTATGGATCTTTTTTTCTAAGAGAAAAGATTTTGATTCTGAGTCATCTGGTGAAATAGAACAGCACGCAGTTCCCATGGAGCCTAGGGCAGTCAGGCTGCTGCGACCGGGCCCAGAACGTGAAATAATTTGGCTACAGCTCTGCCTCCCATCCTTCCTCCCTCACCTCTTCCTCCTCCTGCCTGTGCTCTGGTCTGCTCACTGGGGGCCCACAGTGAACCAAGCAAATGAGATTCCCACAGGGCCACCAGAGATAGTTGTACAGGTTGCACACTGTGCAACTCAAGGGATGTCACATCCATAAATTATGTATGAATATCCCTCCAGTTGTACAGTGCATGCCTGCACAACCATTTACAGAGGCCCTTGGTGCTCAGCCTAGCTGGGATGGCTCAACTGAAAATCAACCCTGGCCAGGCATGGTGGCTCACGCCTGTAATCTCCCAGCACTTTGGGAGACCGAGGTGGGTGGATCATTTGAGGTCAAGAGTTCCAGACGAGTCTGGCCAATATGGCGAAACCCCACCTCTACTAAAAATACAAAAATCAGCTGGGTGTGGTGGCGGGCACCTGTAGTCCCAGCCACTGGGGAGGCTGGGGCAGGAGGCTTGAACCCAGGAGGTGGAGGTTGCAGTGAGCCAAGATTGTGCCATGCACTCCAGCCTGACGACAGAGCAAGACTCCATCTCAAAAAAAAAAAAAAAAAAAAAAAAAAACAGATAATCAACGCAAACTCAGAATCTGCCCTTCTCTGCCCAATCCAGGGCAATCTGGTGGTTCTTAAAATTCTGGGGGTAGATGTGCCCATGGCCCAATCCTGGGACTATAAAGAAGCAGGCGTTGAGTTTGCGGTTGATCTCTGTTACTTTAGGAGACTGATCCTTCACAGCTGTCAGAAAATCCAATCCAATATCAGATGGAAATGATGCGGAGCCTTCGTCATGTAAACATTGATCATCTTCATGTGGGCTGGTACCAGTCCACATACTATGGCTCATTTGTCACCCGAGCGCTCCTGGACTCTCAGTTCAGTTACCAGCATGCCATTGAAGAATCTGTCGTTCTCATTTATGATCCCATAAAAACTGCCCAAGGGTCTCTCTCACTAAAGGCATACAGACTGACTCCTAAACTGATGGAAGTTTGTAAAGAGAAGGATTTTTCCCCTGAAGCATTGAAAAAAGCAAATATCACCTTTGAGTACATGTTTGAAGAAGTGCCGATTGTAATTAAAAATTCACATCTGATTAATGTCTTAATGTGGGAACTTGAAAAGAAGTCAGCTGTAGCAGATAAACATGAATTGCTCAGTCTTGCCAGCAGCAATCATTTGGGGAAGAATCTACAGTTGTTGATGGACAGAGTGGATGAAATGAGCCAGGATATAGTTAAATACAACACATACATGAGGAATACTAGTAAACAGCAGCAGCAGAAACATCAGTATCAGCAGCGTCGCCAGCAGGAGAATATGCAGCGCCAGAGCCGAGGAGAACCCCCGCTCCCTGAGGAGGACCTGTCCAAACTCTTCAAACCGCCACAGCCCCCTGCCAGGATGGACTCGCTGCTCATTGCAGGCCAGATAAACACTTACTGCCAGAACATCAAGGAGTTCACTGCCCAAAACTTAGGCAAGCTCTTCATGGCCCAGGCTCTTCAAGAATACAACAACTAAGAAAAGGAAGTTTCCAGAAAAGAAGTTAACATGAACTCTTGAAATCACACCAGGGCAGCTCTTGGAAGAAATATATATGCATATTGAAAAGCACAGAGGATTTCTTTAGTGTCATTGCCGATTTTGGCTATAACACTGTCTTTCTAGCCATAATAAAATAAAACAAAATCTTGAAAAAAAAAAAAAAAAAAAAAAAGAAGCAGGCGTTGTAGAAACCAGCCGTCCCTCTCATTTCCCATTGGAGCTCCGCTGAGGCTCTGGGCACTGGTGCTAGCTGTTCTTTACTCACCTGTCTGTCCCACTCATGGTCCCTGAGCTCTCGGGTCTCTTTCTGGATTGGCCTCAAGATGCAGTGGCCCCGAGTTCAGCCCAAGTGGCTTCTCGATCTCCCAGCAGGAAGCAGATGCTGCACTCAAACAGGGTGAATGAAGGATGTTTACAGAAGGACATTTACAAATGTGTGGGTGAAGTGAAGGGAAATCCACCAGGGCTGGTGAGCTCCCCGGGCCAGAAACAGCCTGGAGCCCTTACGCTCCTCAGGCTGGTCAGGTGAGGGGGCAGGCGTGGGGGATTTCTCCTGCCTGGCAGGAGCTGTGGCCGTCAGGAAGGAATGAATGCCGCCCCGTCACCCGCAGCCCAGCAGAACTCCCTCACCGACACCCTTGTCCAAAGGCCAGAGGCAGGAGCCCAAGGATTCAGGCCGCACAGTCAGCTTCCTGGGGCTCAGGGCAGGGTGGGTAAGGGTGGAGTGAGGGTCTGGGAGAGGAAAAAAAAAAAAAAAACACGAGTGAGTCGTTGCGGGTCCTCTGGGGAGGGCTTGAGGCGGGGAGGGCTGCTGATTTTCCCAGATAAAATGAAGGTGACAGCACGACCGCAATTAGAGCTCATTGGGGAAGGCCATGTTCTCCTTAAGTGTACGCTGTGGGGAAAGCAGCCAGGTTCATTAACAAGCGCAGAGATGCACGTGGAAGAGACAGCTTGATGGCTTTCGGGCCTGTGGTCTCAGCTGCTGGCAGAAGCCGGGGCGGGGTGGGGCTTGAACTGACTTCCCAACAGGGAGGTGTTTTTCTACTCAGTGGCTGCAGAAACAGGGATATCTGGCCCTAAAACCAAGCTCTGCCTGTGTCTTTGATCATCTTTTATCTCCAGAGCGCAGGTGCCTGCGAGCTTGGAGCCAGAGGGGCTGAGCCACTTGCAGAGACAGGCCAAGGTCATGGTCGCCACAGGCACCTGGCATGTGTTTCCAGGGCCACCCTGAGTTCTAATATTTCGTTTTCTGGTCTCTGTCCAGACTTTGGCTCCCCAAAATATGTAGAAGCACAGGAGGGAGGTCCCTGGAGGCTGATGAGGGTTCATGAGAGTTTGTTTATTCATTCATTTAACAAGTTATTGCGGCCAGGCATAGTGGTTCGCTCCTGTAATCCCAGCACTTTAGGAAGCCAAGGCAGGAAGATCACTTGAGGCCAGGAGTTCCAGCCTGGTCAACATAGTGAGACCTTGTCTCTACAAAAAATATAAATAAAGATAAATGAGCCAGACATGATAGCACGTGCCTCCAGTCCTAGCTACTCAGGAGGCTGAGGTGGGAGGATGACGAGCCAAGGAAGTTGAGGCTGCAGTGAGCCACAATCGTGCCACCACACTCCAAACTGCACGACAGAGCAAGACCGCATCTCTTAAAAAAAAAAAAATGTTACTGTGGGCCTACTACGTGCCAATCACTGTATTAGACTCATGGAGACAACAGCAAGGAAAACAGGGCTCTGCCCTCCGGTGGAGAATGGGTGTTTTGGAGAAGGCAACAGAAGCTTCCATAGTGGGGCTGCCTGTAGGAGGCCTATTTCAGGTGGGTGCATAGTCCCAAGGCTATGCTGCTCGCACCCAGCCTTTGACAATTCAGGAAGGAACTCAGCCCCAGCTGAGCATTCTGGAGCCTTCCAGAGAAGCCGGGCTTGTGTTGTTTGTTACAGAAGCCCCTGGAGTCCTCTGAGCTCTTACAGTGTCCCTGCCAATTTGCAGATTCACAGCCCGACAGCCTGCCTGCCTTCTCTTCCACAGGTCCTAGGGGTTTCTGCCCATCTTGCCCTGGGCCTGGTGTCCTTCTTCAGGTCTGCATTCCCAGTTAGGTGGATAACTTCTGTGCCAGGCTGCAGGACGCTGGTGTCGGGGCTGCTGGGAGTCCACAGTGTGCCGGGGGGTGGGTTAGAAGGAAGTGTCTTGTCTCCTGGCAGATGCAGACCCTCTGGCAGGGCTTGATACGACCAGCAGGGCATGGGCTGGACTTCAGCCTCGCTCATCCCTCCACCCCTTAGCCACCTGTGTTGTGCCCGGCCTGCACCGCTGTCTGTGGCAATCCCAGCTGGCATCTGCACATCCACAGCTCAGGAATGAGTCCACGTGGCAAGGGATTGGTGCTTGTGTGTCTTACCTGAGCAGGATGGATAGCTCTGAGCCAAGCCTGGGCATCCAGTGATCTCAGAGCAACTGGACTGGGTTTTTTGTGTTTTTTTTTGAAGATGGAGTCTTGCTCTGTTGCCCAGGCTGGAGTGCAATGGCCCAGTCTTGGTTCATTGCAACCTCTGCCTCCCAGGTTCAAGAGATTCTCATGCCTCAGCCTCCCAAGTAGTTGGGACTACAGGCGCCCGCCGCTATACCCAGCTAATTTTTCTATTTTTAAGAGAGATGGGGTTTCACCATGTTGACCGGGCTGGTCTCGAACTCCTGACCTCAGGTGAACCATTCACCTCAGCCTCCCAAAATGCTGGATGGACTTCCTTCTCTCGGACTCCTCTGACCTGTCTACAGAGCGAGGGAGGGCATTGCGGGGGCTGAGGGGAAGGGGATGACCGACCCCAACTTTTCTGGCCAGCACAGCTCAGAGGCACATTTCAGAAACACACAGGAAACTTCATCCCAGAGCCCACTCCTGCCAGAAGGAATCGGAGAGGAGGAGGCGCCAGAGAGAAGAACTGCCTTTAATGCCCCAGACAATCCCCGCTCTGTGAAGCAGGAGCACACACTGATGCGTTCACAAAAAAGGAGACAAACCCTGCCTTCAGAGGCTGACAGCCCTGACACCAGCTCAGCTGGCTGGGGAGGGCGACGCCTGCCAGTGCGGCCCGACTCACTGTCCCCTGCGGGGGCCACCAAGGGTCTACGCAGCCCAGTGGAAGGGCTGGAAGACAGCAGGTGCTTGGGAAAGGCCGAGCTCTGCGCTTCCCTTTCCCAAGTCTCCCTTCCCTCCCTCTGACCATCCTCCCACCCCAGACACTGGAAGAGGGGCACCCTAAGCCCCTACTGGGTGCTTGACATTTCCTCACGGTGACCCTCCAGTGGGGCATGTTCACTTCCCAGGGCCGCTGTAACAAATGATCACGAACTGTGTGACTTGCAACAGAAATTCACAATCATGGTGTGGAAGCCAGAAGCCCAGAGTCAAGGTGTTGGGGACCCTGCTTTCTCTGAAGACTCTAGGGGAGGATCCTTCCTCTTCCAGCTTTCCTTGGCTCATGGCAGCATGGTCTCTGCCTCTGTCTTCACAGCCCTTCTCCCCTGTGTCTTCTCTTCCTATCAGGTTCTTATGAGGACGCTCATTATTGGATCTAGGGCCACCAGATTCATCCCAGATGATCTCAGCTTGAGGTTCTTAACTGAGTCACATCTGCAAGACCCTTTTTCTTTTTCTTTCTTTCTTTTTTTTTTTTTTTTGAGACAAAATCTTGCTCTTGTCACCCAGGCTGGAGTGCAATGGCATGATTTGGCTCACTACAACCTCTGCCTCCCAGGTTCAAGCGATTTTCCTGCCTCAGCCTCCCGAGTAGCTGGGATTACAGGGGAGCGCCACCACGCCTGGCTAATTTCTTTTGTATTTTTAGTAGAGACAGAGTTTCACCATACTGCCCAGGCTGGTCTGGATCTCAGGTGATCTGCCTGCCTCAGCCTCCCAAAGTGCTGGGATTACAGGTGTGAACCACTGCACCCAGCCAAGACCCTTTTTCTAAATAAGATCAATTCACAGGTCCTAAAGGTTAGGATGTAGATGTATTCGAGGGAGGCCACAATTCAACTCCCTACAGTTAGGTGTAACTATCCCCAAGTTAAAAAGGGGACTGAGTTGGTCACAAAGTCAGCCGTCCCCAGTCAGCTGGTCGGTGGCAGAGCGAGGTTAGTCAGTGGCAAAGCCCTGGGGTCAGGGCTACAGAGGTGGCTCTGTGGACACTGTGGGTCACGAGCATCCCTCTCGGCCCAGCCACACCACCCCTGCGATTTCAGGCCAGTCGTGAGGTCCCACGCCCTTGTCTGTCACCTTGGGGATGATGATGATGATGATGAAGGTATAGAATGGCCAGGCCCAGTGCTATGCACCTTACATAGGACATTGGTGCTATGAGGAACCTCATGCCACAGACGGGAAGCTGAATTTTGGAGAGTGAAAGTGATTGGCCAAGGTGCACAGCCAGCATGTCACAGCAGGGCCCGTGCCCAGACCCACTTAATGCCAATGCCTGTGCCCTCAACCACTGACCAGTGCCCCCCTTTGTGGACACTGCTCCCCAGCCTTCCAGAGGCTTCACAGAGACCGCGTTCATGCAAGGGCTTAGCTGGTTTCGCAGTGTCACAGAAATGTGATGCGGTTTGGTGCTTTCACAGCTGTTACTGTGGCCTCCCTGGTGCCCACTTCCAGGGAGAAACTAAGCAAGAGGTAGACAGACGTGGCTCCATGGTGAAGTGCAGGCCTGGAGCCCCTACTTGCGTCTGATCCAACAGCCCCGAGCCGGCCCCAGGCCCTGGCCCACCTCGAGTCTCCAGGCCCCGATGGGAATCTCAAATCCCAGGGAAGGGCCTGGAGCTGCAAGCTTCCTGGGAGACATATGCAGCCATGCCCGGAAGGGCAGCCGATCTCACTGTCCTCTGCTTTGTGCCCTACCTCCCTGGCCAGGCATCGTACGAGCCTCCAGTGTCTTCCCCATCCTCAGCACCATACTGCTTCTGCTGGGGGGCCTGTGCATCGGCGCCGGCAGGATCTACAGCCGCAAGAACAACATCGTCCTCAGCGCCGGCATCCTCTTTGTGGCCGCAGGTGAGCCGCCAGCCCACAGCTGGTGCTGGGCTGGGGGCTGGGGACACGGGAGTGCCTGTTTCGCATGGTCCCCACTGCCAGGGAGTGTGCCTCCTTGGGGGAATGCCGACGTAACT